TATTTTCACTAACGTGTTTTATCCTTGCTAGCTAAGTGCCCTCAGAAGGTTTTCTCTCTCCGTTCCCTCCCATTACTATACAGTGCACCTGGGGTGAAGGGAGCTTTCCTATGGTGGAGCCTGCAGGACCAAAAGCTTTAGGCAAACAGTCCCAGGGGCATTTGTGGCTCGAGGGCTTACACATACCGAGAGTGTTTTGGTCAGATACAGTCAACCCCACCCCCCCCCAGCTGGAACTTCCACAAGGTTAAGTGTCGCAGGCAGAGTGGAGGTGGGGGTACCAGGCACGTTTGAATTGTCCTGAAGCATCTGGGGCCTGTACGTGACTCCTCCACCAGCGGGCATGTCTGCCTACTGGCACAATCGTGTCTGCTTGTGAGAAAGGAGCACCTGGACTAAGGTCAAGGTTCTTTGTCCCCCTGTTGTCTGACACCAATACCTAAAGTGACCATTTGCAGGTCTGTATCCATCTCTGGCAACCAGTCAGAATTTTTCTGGTACATGTTTTCAATATCAGCACCGAACCTGTTCATGGGGACAGCCAGATGCATACATGTCAGAGCCAGTATGGTACAGATGGCAATGGTGGACTCTTCTTTTCTTCAATCCAGCTTCTCAAGTGTGTCTGACAAACCTGCCTGACTCTCATGTGTCATTTTGTGCATTTTAAGTAAGTTATTAATGACTGCTCCACTATAGGGCCTTCTCCAGCCTGTGACCGAGCAGGTACCTAGTTTCCAGCCGCTCACTGAATGCAGACGGCCTGGGGGCATTCTTTCCCCTGCCTGACCCATGGAGATTGCCTGACCCATGTGCTTGCCAGAATGTGCTTCTAACTCTAATCTAGCTAATATACACAGCAAGGAATCAGCATCTGAGTTGGTGGGGACACAGAAGAGAAAACATTGCTGGTATTTTTCATGAGGGATGGCATCTTCTTTCTCAGAGGTGTCTAGAGTGCTGGTTTCTTCAGGACATCAGCTGTCTGAGTACCACTCATGCCTGGAGAAGACAAGAGAGGGACTGAGTTGGTCAATGGAGGTAGCAGCTTGAGTACATTAAGAATATATTCATAATGGTGGTTACAGAAGAGCATTTCACAATGAATCTTACTTTGTTGCTGGGACAACGAGGTCTCTGTATCACCTTGAGTTGTTACGGTCCTTTTCAATTAACGCATAGATTCTTCCCTTATAAGGGGCAAACAAACAAATTTTGAGCACCCACTACCTGTCTTTCTGCTTATTGTGAGCTGTCTTCTCCTGCAGTGAGAGAAGATCAGAGTTTGACTGACATAGAAGTGGCTGGCACAACTGTTATATTGGTCAGGAAGAGGAAAAGTAGTGAGATGGCATTCACAGTTAGCAGCTTTAGGGGATAGAAGGGGTGAGAGCAAATTGAGAGAAGATGCTGCATGCAGTTGTGAGAGTGGTGAGCCTTGTTGGGAGGTGGGCATCATTGTGGAGTTAAAGTGAGTGTGAAGTAGCAGAGACAAGATGAGGCACTTAGCCTTGCAGAGCATAAAATGTCATTAACTTTCTTTTTGCATTGCTGGGCATTCCTCCGAACCACAGACACTGCTCTGATCCAAGTAGCAACTGAGACCAAGTTGGCAGGATCTGGTGCAATGGTCTCCTCCAGCAGTCTAGAGGAAAGAGGATGGCCCTCCAGGTCCCTGTTAGCAAAGCAGAGTATCAAGTTTCCTCAAAGGGAAATTCCTGGCATGCAGCATTTGAATTGGGGTACAGCGAGGCTTTAAATATGGTATCAGTGGTGTGAATACTAAAAGGTCATGGCACCACTGAGCATTTCTACAGCTGTAAATTGCAAGATAATGCGACAGCATGCTGCATACTTAATGAGGTGAGCAGCATAAAAGGTGAGAGAAAGCTGGCTAGAATTCATAGAGAGTAACTGTCCACGTTTCTCTACGACTCTTAGCCAAATTTTGGGAAAATTTAGCCCATAATATTTTGTTAAAAAAAAATTAGTCCTTGAATTGCTCCCTGAAAAAAACATATAGGTGCTTGAAAATGAGTTCTGTTTTACCATCTGCCTGGTCAGATAGTTGAACTATCTCTTTCTATGATTAAGTCTTTATTTGAACAGCTCCTAGTGTAAATTGGACTACCCAAAATTGTGACCTTCAAGATATTTTATATGGAAATTCTCCATAAGTTATGCACTCACATCAGCCTAACTTGGATGCATTAAAGTGCAAAGTGTCATATAGCTTTAGACACACTTTAACCTTCCAAGTGTTCCCATACATTATCAATAAAACTTTAGTTCAAATATATGCAATGTATTTCCTAGTTTAATATCACAAGGTGATAGACATGCAAAATTTCTACTCATCTTACAATTCACAAACAAATACTTTGCTATCAAATCTACAAAATGCAACTGGTTCTACAAAGGGAAAGTGCCATTCCGAAGAAAATAGAATGGAACGGGAAGTGAAACCAAAATGTAATATGCATATTTTTAGTAATGACGGATTTGTACTTGTTACACTGTCAAAAGGAAACTGTTGCTAAAAGAGATAAACATGTGATTTTCAAATTTCTTTATATTTGTTGCTTTGGAATTTTGGATTTAATTTTATACACATCTACATTTCTTCCATGAATTATGAAAATTAAATCTAACTAAACTGGAGATTTGTGTTCTACTAACACTAAGTCATGAACACAGAATTAACACAGAAGTTTTATACGAACCACTGTATAATTGGACATGAGTGAATCAACATAATTTCCTAATCTCTCAGAACAGCAACGTTTCTAAAGTAAGGCTTCCACTTTTTAGCCATCTTTTCTGGTTGTGGTAAAACATATTAGTTCGAAGACATATGGACAGATTGATACCTTTCTGTGGAATATAGCAGCAAGGACCTTAGTCTTACGTATTGGAAAGATCAATAATAAAAATAACTTTCACTGCATTGCCATAGTTTCCATAGAAATGATAATGGACCCAGTTTTGTTGTGACAGACACGATTACGATTGCAGAAATACTTTCCTAGTGTTATTCCAAAAAAGGACATGAATATTGCTGAAACCGTTTTCCCTGAGATGTGTCATCATTGGCATGAGTGTATGACGCAACAGAATCTATTGAACGATGTAAGAGCTGGGTGAATGACTGTCAAAGAGGCACTGACAGCTTTGTTATGAATGAAAGCACCTACAATGTAGCTATTGCCCTGTTGCCTTTATTTTTAAAGGAGCTAATAACTCCTTCAGCATGTTAGATGGTAAAAATTGGATCTGGTAGGTTAGATTTTTAACTTGCTGCCTTGGCACGAAATTGGCACTGCTGTTTGGTCACTGGCAATGAAAAACAGCTGGATTTTCATTTTCAAATTGAGCATCTATGCCACTTTCACAAAAAAGGCTGGAATCAGATTTAGGGCATCTGAGAAAATACAAACCTAAAATATAACAATTTTTTTGGAAAACCCATTCTTATGAATTTACACGTATATTGCTTTAAACACTTTAAACAGAGTTAACACCAGGGCAACAATTTTAACCTTTCCATGATAGTGTAAAATGGGCAAAATTGGACTGTGCATTTGTTATATACCTTATCCATTTTCCCATTGTATTGTCCGAATGCGTTAAGTGACACGGAGCTTAGCAATATTCTGCTTTGCTGGGCTACTTGGCTGTAGCTGGATAATTTCCTGTGGTCCTTATATGTACTCAGTATCATTAGCTTTTACCTGGTTGTAGTTAAACTGTCTATTTTTGGGGAACTGGCTGCACCCTATAAATAGAGAATGCGCACTTCATATTCAACAATCAGCCCTTTTATCATGTAGATTTGTGAGTTGCATTATTGCATTTACCTACTTCAAGCCTATTGTCCTCTAAAATACAGATTTTTTTTTATCTGTAGAGATTGCATAATCCGTAACAGCTGGAATTCAGAACTGCATGAAGTCTTGCTAGAAATTCATAGGGATTACTGCATCAATAGACACAGATGTAGCAAACAAATACTACCATGAAAGGTGCTTAAATGCAGTACTGACCCATATCTCTTTTAAAGTTTTTGATTTTTTATAAGAACAGATTGGCTGCAGCAGTATTACATTTAACACATTAACAAAACAAAATACAGTTATACTTGATGCTCCTCTGCACACAGGGCAGCGGGCAGAGTAGAAAAAAAATACAAAGTGATAGTCGAGTACGAGGGTTATGTCATGCTTCACAGAAAGAGGGGACTGGGAGCTGCTAAATAAAGGCTGAGATACATATTTTGACCACTATGGAATACACAGATACCAACACAGAGGCAAGAAGGAAGTTTGTTGAAAGGATGAACTCCACCTGAACCAAAATGGGACAAATATCCCAACAGAAAGGGCAAACAGGTAACAAAGGCTTTAAACTTGGATGTTTGAGAAAGATATAGTGCCAGAAGACTCAGTCATATCTGTACATTAGAATGTGTCCAAAGAACCAAAGGCTGGTCAACTTAACATCAGGAAATCTAACGTGATCTCTACTAAAAGAGGAAATAGAAACGTACCTAGAAACCAAAAATAATCAATTATCAGCATGAATTTGAAAGGAGAAAAACCTGCCTGAGCAACCTCAGTGAAATTATTTGAATAGTACCAGTGAGGGTAGATAATGCTAATCCAGTAGCTAAAATGTGACAGATTTCTAAAACACCTTTGATAAAGTGGTGCCTTGGACAAATGAATAATGTCAGATCATGTATATTCGGGGTACAGTTAGCAGAATGGATGGCAGCAAAAGGAAATGCAAAGGATAGGGGTAAAGGGCAGCTATTCGGAAGGGAAGGAAGTGGGAACTGAAGATCCATAAATGAATTTTGGATTACTGTTGTTTATAACATGATTATGATTTTAATTTTGAAATTAAATTTGTGACAAACTTGCTGATGATACCATATTTTTGGGGGAGTGAAGGAGTAGTCAATACTGAGAAGAACTGCAATAAATTACAAGAAAATGTTGTATGTCCTTTCTACAAGTTTATTAATTGACAAATTAATTTTAACGTTGATAAGTGTGAGGCATTACATTTTGGTAAGGAAAAAGAAAGAAGTCACCTATTAATTTAAAATAAAAATGTGAGCAGTGTACAGAAGCAAAAGGATTTGTAAATACAAATCAATTAATCACTAACAGTACCAATTCAGGCTAATGAGGTCATTAAAAAAATGCAAATCAAGCACTAAAGTTGTTTTCTAGAGGGATAGAATTGAGAAGTGGAGAAGTCATACTTTACTAATACAACATCCTGGTTAGACAACACTTAGAATACTGTTTACAATTCTAATCACCATATTTAGAAAAAGTACATTGTAACACTGGAGAAAGTACAGAAAACATTTGCAAAGATGATAGCAAAACAGCAAGATAATAAAAAATTAGGACCTGATAAAAAGGCTGGGTTTCCTTTCTCTTGAAGACATCTTTCTGATTAGGTATTCTTAAATTTTTTTGCCTGAAGGCAGGTTTGATCAACAACACCATGACCTCCATTCTTGGTTGGGCAAGGAAGCATGTACTGAACCCAGCTTGAATGGGGATTAAATCCTGAACTTTTGGCATCAATCTGATCCACATCAGCCATCAGACAGCTGAGTCAACCAGCCCCTAATAATATGTAGAGAAAGAGATTTTTCCCTTGTAGGAAAGAACAGAATTAGAGGTGCATAGGTCTGCAGCCTTGCCCTTTTGGTTTTAGAGGTCACGCGTTTGGAAGCTGCTGTCTAAGTAGACTTGGTAAGTTGCCACAATGATCTTATAGACGGTGCACACTGTAATGATTGTGTGCCAGTAGTGGAGGGAGTGAAAGTTTAAAGTGGTGGATAACATTTTAATCAAGATGCTGGAACAAAGATAATACTGGATCTCAAAGTGCAAAATCTCTCACCCCTACAGTATACTATTAAGTAGTAAGGTAACCCAGAGAATGCTAGAACCAAGCAAACAGCTGCACCCCACAGTAACAAATCACCCCCCAACAATTGCCAACTTTAACTGTTATTTTGTTTGGAGCAGATTTAAAGGACTTTTTTTTTCAATAAAGTGAATTGGGTGCGAAAAAGCATCACTAATTCTGAAAATAGGATGATGAGTTGGCTGTTAGGGACATGTGAAGGAAGATAAACAAGGCAGCAAAAATATAAACAAAGAGGGGGAGCTGGCAGTCGAGTGGATATTGCTATGAGACTGAAGTAAATGGCTGAGAGGCAGTGTAGACCTAGGGGTTCACACATTTACCCCAACCACTAGTGCACTGCCAACCTGCTCACCTCACTCTGATATCTGGGGGCCCGATGACATTGACGCACTCCCCAGAATATTTTAAAACTCAGGAAGCGATGTCTTGATAATACAGTAGGAATAGAGAGAGGGAGAGAGAGACTCAAGCAGATTCTAGCCTGCATTCTACAAACTCATGATCTCTGGCAGATGCTGAGATATTTGAACTTCCCCACATGTCAAGGATCATAGCTTTATGCCGTGTCAGGTCAGTGTTCATCAACTTAGTTTGTAGAAAATTTCCTTTGGCCTGTAAGCAAATGGGTATTTCCCATCAATTCTACCAGCTTAGATTTTTGCTTGTATACACCCTTTCATGGAATTAATTTGCAAATTTATATTCAATGTTATTGAGGTAGTCTTCATTCTCTGTGATTTGGAGATAAACTGTAGCTTGGGGCTCTGCTATCTGTGAACATTTATTTTCTAGCTCCTGATCATCAGAAGACAGGTTTTCGCCTTTGGTCATGGTGTAGAAATGATAATGGAAGTCACTTCCATAGGTTTGGTGTTTGATGGACCACTTGTAATCCCTTTTGGCATAAAGCTGCTTCCGAAAATGAGGCTGTGCAAATGTGATGGAGATAAAGCGTCCTCCTTTCCTCAGAACGCGGCTGACCTGAAATAAAGAAAGAAATGTTTATTTTACAAAGGACACATTGTCCACTTCTTCAAAAACAAAAATAGTGCGAGTGTTTATAACATTGGATCTACCATGTAAGGCCAGTGTTTTCAACCCTTTGGAAATGTCAAACAACAACCACTAGCGACAAATACATTAGCTCATTACAACCTCCATGGTAATCTGCGATGCCTCCATCTATGTAATTGGGGTGGTATTATCGCACTGTTGGGGTGATGGGGCAGAACATCATGGAAAAGCATACAAACTTCAGAAAAGAAGCTTGTACATATCCTTTTCAACTATGGGGCCAAGCCACATACTACAATGGGAATAGCCCCTGTGGAACTATTGATGGGCTGATTCCTTTGGTCTAGGCTTAGCCTGACTTTCACAAACGTTGGGAGTGGGGGAAGTTTAATTAAAACAAGGAGCCCAGAAAAGAGGCCATGACGGACATAGGCTAGCTAGACAGAGATCTTAAACTGGGAGATACAGTTCAAATAAGGAACTTCAGTGATGGCTGTCCATAGATTCTGGGAGTTATCCTTAAAAAAAAATAAATGAGACCGTTATCATGATATGCGACCATCAGCAGCCTGTGGATAGGAAACCAACCTGAAATAAAGAAGGAAACATGAGTGCTTTATTTTATTTCATACTCAGACGTGCTATCACACACCTATGTTACCACCACCAAATCACCATGACCTTTCTTTTTGTTTGTTTTCAACGAGTAACCATCATCCATAATCACCCATGTACGGTGTCTGCTTTCTTTTCCTAAACAACCTGCTCAGAGTTGTCATTGCACACATCTGAAACAGGTGAGACTTGACCTGACCTTTGGGTATCCGGTATATGGAGGGTTGTGGGCAGATCGGAGGACCTCCTCGTGGGTCTGCTCCTGGGCTTGACCAGGCTGGCTATAAATGGGTCCAGGCAGTGGGCTGCAGAGGGGGTCATATCTGCCGACTGTCTTCCCCTCTTCTGCGGTTATATTCATGCCAGGGTGTCTTCGGAGAGGGAGCACACACAGTCCATCAATGGTCTCCATGTGTTTGGAGTGAAGTGGGCTCTCTGGGAGATACAGTGCTTTATTTCCACCTCCAATTCCATTTTGATTTAGCTCCCCCCAACCCCTTCACTTTGGATAGTTTGCATTGCTGTAATGGGCTTTGCTTGTAAATATTTACTTGGCCTCACAGATGATTACTGACGGTGGTTAATCATTTAAAAAAAACCAAAAATAAAATCACGGTAACTTTTGGTGGAAAAGTTGTTCAGTTGTGTGTGATAGCGCCTTGTCAAATGTTTTAATAAAGTCCATTAACTGCTGGCCTTCATCAATCATTGTCGTCGCTTCCTCAAAAAATTTGAGAAAAGACCTTTCAGCTCCATGCCATGTTGACCATCCACAATAAGTGCATTCTTTTCCAAATGCAAGTAAATTCTGTCCTTAAGAATCCTCTGTAATAATTTCCCTACCACTGATGTAAGGCTCACCAGCCTATAATTTTTTGGATTATCCCTGTTGCCCTTCTTAAACAAAGGAACAACATTGTCGATTCTCCAGTCTTCTGGGACCTTACCTGTGGCTAAAGAGAGCACAAAGGTCTCTGTTAAGGGCCCAGAATTCTCCATCTTTGCCTCCCTCAGTATCACAGGTTAGATCCCATCAGAGATCTATCTACCCTAATGTTTTTCAAGACACACAATACCTCCTTCTTTTTAAAATGGATATGCCTCAGAATATTAACACATCCCTCCCTAATCTTGCCATCATCCATGTCCTTCTTCTTGCTGAATACTGATGTGAAGTACTCATTAATGGCCTCACCAACCTCTTCTGGGTCATGGACACATTCTCTCTTTTGTCTTTGAATGTACCTATCCTTCCCTCGCTACCGTATTGCATCTCATATAAATATAAAATGCCTTGGAATTCTCCTTAATCCCACTTACCAAGGATATTCATGGTCCCTTTTAGCTCTCCTAACCTCGTGTTTAAGTTTTTTCCTTTATATTCCTCAAGAGCCCTGTCTGATTTCAGCTTCCTTTTTGTTTTTAACTAATCTTTCAATATCTCTCATCGTCCAGGGATCCCAAATCTTGTCATCCTTATCTTTCATTCCAACAGGAACAAGCTAGTCCTGAACTCTGATCAACTGGCCTTTAAAAGATTTCCACACGTCAGATGTGGATTTACCCTCAAACATTCTCCATGGCATACCTCTACCAACCAGAATCCATCTGCCTGATTTTAGTTCTGTACTACCAGGTAGATACTTTTATATAGAATTAGTCAGAAAAATTATATACAGATATAACAGTTGTCCAACAGTTAAAACGATCACTCTCAATAATGATGCATATAGATCATAGAATAACTAGAACAGAATCAGTTCCTGATTGAACAAAGATTTGTGCTAACAAAGCAGAAGGGACCATCAGATCAAGTTTAAAAAAAGATTCAGTTTGTGAGATGTAACCTGGAAAGGGTATTGTAAACTAGATGAAGTAAAACATAGTAAATAGTACAACATAATCACTTTATGTTTCATTTCCTGTAGACTTATGAATTCAAAGTTTTAGGTCATAGCTTAAAAAGTTATTTTGCAATTTTAGCATTTTTGGAAGTATGTTCAGAGATAAACTTGGTGTCATGCATCTAACAACGAATAAACTGTACTATATTGAACTTCACAGCTTCTGTGAAAAGTACCTTGAGATTTCAGGTAGAAGACTACCAAAATTAATCACTTTAATAATGGAAAACACAGTACTTTTTGCAATATTGAGAAAAATCTCATTTTTATCAGCTTGTGTGATTTAATTCGGTTAAACAAGTATTCATATATTTATGCTGTTGAAATCAATTCCATTGTTAGTTTTGTGGTTACTTCTTAAGTGCACCCTATTCCATTTAAGTGGTTCATATTATGAAAGCTGAAATCTTTCAGCACTCTTTTCTACCAGAATGAATAAATGGAGAGAATACTTTGTTTAGTGATATGGCTTTCAATTAATTCATTTATGTGTCATAAATGTCAAAACCAGCGCCACGTGTGTTGCACAACGCTACCAAGTGTTACCTTGTCCTCATTATTCAGTGGAACCACTTCACATAGATTTACATAGAACAGTATAGCACAGGAACAGGCCCTTTGTCCCACTATTTCTGTGCTGAGCACAATGCCATTGTAAACTAATCCCTCTATATCCCTCTATTCCTGCCTGTTCATGTATCTGTCTAAATGCCTCTTAACATTGCTATCACCATCTACTTCTACCACCTTCCCTGGCAGTGCTTTCCAGGCACCTGCTACCCTCTGTACAAAAAACTTGACACACACATCTCCTTTAAACATTCCCACCCTCACCTTAAACCTGTGCTCCCTAGTAACTGACATTTCCACCCTGGGAAAAACTCTCTGTTCATTGACCCTATCCATGCCTCTCATAGTTTTATATACTTCTATCAGCTTGCCCCTCAGCCTCCGATGCTCTAGTGAAAACAATCCAGTTTTATCCAACCTCTTTTTATAACTAATACACTCCAATGCAGGCAATATCCTGCTGAAACCTCATAGAATCATAGACTCCCTACAATGTGGAAACAGACATGGGGAGAATGTCCAAACTCCACACAGACAGTCGCCTGAGGGTGGAATCGAACTCGGCTCCCTGGTGCTGTGGGGCAAGCACACCATACACCCTCTTTAACCCCTTATCTACTTGCGTTGCTACTTTTTAGGGAGTTATGGACTTGCACCCCAAGACCCCTCTGTATATCAATGTTCCTAAGAGTCTTGCCATTTACTCTATACTTTCCTCTTGCAATGGACCGACCAAAATGCATTAGCTGCACTTGTGTGGATTAAACTCCATCTGTCATTTCTCTGCCAAATTTTCCAACTGACCTATATCGTGCTGCGTCCTTTGACAAATTCTTCATTATCCACAATTCCACCAATTTGATGTCCTCTGCAAACTACCTAATCAGACCAACTATGTTTCATCCAAATCATTTACATTAACAAACAACTGAGGTCCCAGCACTCCTCCTTGTGGAAAACCACTGCTCACAGATGTCCAACAGAAAAACATTCTTCCACAACTACCTTCTGTTTTATGATCAAGCTACTTTTGTATCCAATTTACCATGGATAACATGTGACTTAATCTTCTGGACCAGCATGTCATGAGGGACATTTCAAAATGCTTTAGTAATGTCCATGTAAACAACATTCATTGCCCTACCTTCATAAATCATCTTTGTCACTTCCTCAAAACACTCAATCAAATTTGTGAGAAAAGATCTTCCCATACAAAGTCATGCTGACTATCCCTAATAAATCCATTCTTTTCCAAATGTAAATCCTGTCCATAAGAATCTTCTCCAATAATTTGCCTACCCTGATGTAAGGCTCATAAAGACTAAAATGAGGACTTGACGTAAAATTATTCTGAGATGCAATACTGAGACTTAGAGGGTTATAGGATGAGAAAGCATTTTGGATGGATGGTGGGCCTGGGGGTGGGCGATAAGTGGAGATGGTGAATGGGGAGATGGAGCAGGCTTGATGACCGAGATGCTGTGGGTGGAATAGTTGTGGCAATGGCAGGCAGGGTGAAAGGAAGAAGAATGGAATAGTGGGGTGGTTCAGAAAACCCAATCAAGACCAATAAATGAGTAAGGTCAAAAGGAATTGTACTGAAGTAACTATATCTTGGTTGACTTCACTTTTCTGTATCTTCTCTGTATAGTTATTGAATGCTATGGTGACTTCCAGGAGAGCTCTCTTGATTGGAATTTCAATTCTTATGATTTTCCATGTATGAGTTGCTTCTTGTACTATATTTGCACATAGCACTATATCCAACGTTCACTATGTCTCCTCTTTTGTGCTTAATAGATAAAATCAGACTCAAATAGTGTGAACCATATTTTAACCATAAAGGATAACTTCAAGGTTAACAGGCAAACCTCAGGT